GCCAGGCCCAGGGTCAGTGAGGGCCTAGTCAGGGAATTTCTGGTGGGACTAGACATGTTCTAATCAGCAGGTCCTGATGATGTCCACCTCAGAGTGCTGAGGGAATTAGCTGCGGTCATTGCGGGACCCCTGGCACAGCTTTATGAGCACTCGTGGTGCTCTGGTGAGGTGCCAGAGGACTGAAAAAGTGTCAATGTGGTCCCCATTTTAAAAAAGGGAGGAAGAAGGACCCAGGAAACTACAGGCCTATTAGTCTGTCCTCGGTCCTGGGAAAGCTCTTTGAGAAAATTATCCAGGAGCACATCTGTGAGGGGCCAGCAGGGGGGATCATGCTTAGGGGCAACCAACATGGATTCATTCAAGGCAGGTCCTGTCAGACCAACCTGGTGGCTTTCTACAACCAGGTCACAAAATCCTTGGATGCAGGTGTCGCGGTGGATGCAGTCTTTCTGGACTTTAGGAAGGCCTTTGACACTGTCTCTCACCCCATTCTCATTAAGAAATTAGGTGACTGTGGGGTCAATGCCTACACAGTCAGATGGGTCACAAATTGGCTGGAGGGCCGCACCCAGACAGTGGTGTGTGAGAAAGAGAAAGAGTTACCGTGCTCCAAAGCACAAGGGCTAAACAAAGGCTCAGCGACCCCAGGTCCACGGCTCCAAAGAGCCGGGCAGAAATCTCCCTTACCCAGGTGTTTCTGGAGGGGAGGGGCAGAGAACTCCCACGCTGGTATAAAGAAGAGCCCGGGACAGGAAAGAGGGGGTAGCGTAGAACCAGAAGAAGGAAGAGGAGGAGGAGGAGGAGGAGCGAGCCGACACACGTTGCATGGAACTCTGTGAGCGACGTAGAGAGCTGGTAGGAGACTCTTGCAGAGAGTAAGCCCCACAGAGGGGACTTAGAGCAAAGACTACTGACCCTGGGGGGGCAGAACTGTTTATTTACACGCTGGGAGTTGGCTAGCTTGGCAGAGTTTTGTACCGTAATATCCCTAATAGAAGGGCACTATAGATTTTTGTGGTACCGTAAAGCATGTAAAAGTGGCACAAGCCAAAAATGGTGTCACAGATGGACCTAATGTGCTAAAGGGAATCATGACAACCTCAAGAAGAGGCTCAGAGAGAGAGCCACCAAAGAGGGACTGACCTCACAAAGGTCCGTTTGGTTTGCTCTTGGCTAAAAGCAGTAGGAACAATAACCCAGGCCAGGAGTGCCTGTTTTGTTTTCTTGTTTTCCTGTCTTTTGCTTTTGATTGGAACCGAGATCACGTTGCAAGACCAACTGGCTGATCAGAACCCAGTGGAACGGGCAAGGGTGTAGGGGTGGCAGAGCCCTCAGGAACGTAGGACCTTCGCAGGATGACGGTGAGAATACTAATGGGACTACACGTACAGGTACTGAACCAACTCCTTTAACATCGAGTCGTGGCAGGAAAAACGTGGTCGTGTAGTTCTCCAATTAGAAATGGTCTCACCCTAGTTGATTGGCAGGCGGTGTCCTACAGGTCTGCAAGTGACTGAAATACGTGACAGTGGTGCATTGGCCAGGAATTCGGCAGCGGTCTCCCAAGAGGGATCAAAATGGAGCACCAACTGGTGTTGACAGGGCCAGAATCCCTGTAACAGACCATGAGCCTGATGGCACAGGTGCTGCAGTAGCAGCAGCAGCATGCATCAAGGCAGACAGCTGTACAGGAGCACCTGATTCAGCAACAGGTTTGGGCACAAAGGGGTCCGTTGGACATTAGGATGCCCAAGATGACTAAAGAGGATGATCCAGAGGCCTTTTTAGAAATTTTTGAAAGGACAGCCATAGCATCTGGATTGGAAAAGGTGAGATGGGCTGGACAATTAGGAGTCCTCTTCATTGGACAGGCCCAGGCGGCCTATAGGGCCATGACCCAGTTAGACGCCCAGGACTATGATAAGGTGAAGGGTGAGATATTGCAAAGGCTTAATATAACCCCAGAAAGACACCGGCAGGCATTTAGAGGGAGGAAGCAAAAGGAAGAAAAAGTACCCTGACTTCTGTGGCAAAGCCTTATAGATCTTATGAATAAATGGCTTAAACCTGAAGTCAATTCCAAAGAAGAAATTTGTAACCAAATACTGTTGGAACAGTTTATAGCCGATTTGGAGGAAGACACACAGAGATGGGTGAGATGCCATTGCCCCAAGTCTTCCTGAGAAGCCCTGTAATTGGCAGAACATTTTGATGTGGCACAAGAAGAAATGCGGTGGGATCGAGGTACAAGAGGGACAGGAGCAGGCTATGGGCAGGAGGCAGACCGAAAAGGCGAAAGAGAGAATAAAGGAAATTTTTGTCTGCAAGTGACTGAAATATGTGACACAGTGGTGGATGGGTCATTTTCAACCTGGAGGGATGTGGTCAGTGGGGTCCCCCACGGCTCAGTCCTAGGGCCTGTACTCTTCAACATCTTCATCAGCAACTTGTTTGAGGGGGTGAAAAGCACTCTTTTCTAATTCGTGGATGACACCAAGATGTGGGGAGAAGTGGGCATGCTGGAGGAGAGGGACAGGCTGCAACTAGATCTAGACAAGTTACAGGGGTGGGAAAATGAGAACAGGATGGATTTCAATACTGACAAGTGCAAGGTACTGCACCTAGGGAGGAAGAACTAGCAGCATACATACAGTCTGGGGAACTCCTTTCTAGTCAACACAGAGTCAGAAAAGGATCTTGGTGTCATTATTGATTCCAAAATGAACATGGGTCGCCAATGTGGGGACGTGGTCAGGAAGGCTAACCGCACCTTGTCATGCATCCACAGATGCATCACGAGCAGGTCCAAGGAGGTGACCCTCCCCCTCTATGCAACATAGGTCAGGCTGCAGTTGGAGTACTGTGTTCAGTTCTGGGCGCCGCACTTCAGGAGGGATGTGGAAAGCATCGAAAGGGTCCAGAGGAGGGCCATTCGCATGATCAGGGGGCAGCAAGGCAGGCCCTATGAGCGGAGGCTACGGGACCTGAACCTGTTCAGCCTCCGCAAGAGAAGGCTGAGGGGGGATCTTGTGGCCTGTTATAAACTAGTCAGGGGGGATCAGCAGGCATTGGGGGTGTCACTGTTCCCACGAGCACTGTCAGGAGTGACCAGGAATAACGGTCACAAGCTGGCAGAGGGTAGGTTTAGGCTAGACATCAGGAGGCACTATTTCATGGTTAGGGTGTCTAGGATCTGGAACCACCTTTCAAGGGAAGTGCAGCTTGCTTCTACCCTGGGGGGTCTTCAAAAGGAAGCTAGATAATCACCTGGCTGGGGTCATTTGACCCCAGCTTTCTTTCTTTCCTACCTATGGCAGGGGGTTGGACTTGATGATTGGCTCAGGTCCCTTCCGACACTACCAACTATGAAACTGGTCTCCCATTAGAAATTGCCAGTGTGCAGGTATTCATTCACTTTCTCCCAGAGGAGACATGGCCCCTCCACTAGAAAGGGGAAGATCTTCTGTAAGACATGTGGAAGACATTTCAAGTGAGAGAATTTCTCTCTCCAACTGAATGCCTGTATACTTCCACTTGACTCCTACATGATTGCGAGGAGTCAAGCAAGAGCTACCCAGGGGGACTACAGTTCAGGGAAAGTGTGTGTTGGGGGCGGGGGGTGGCATTTCCTTGCAGTGGGGGAGGGGGCATTTCCCTGCAGCTTGATTCCTCCTGGTCATGGAGAAGTTGAACTGCTTCTTCCCTCTGATCTTTCCCAAGGCTGAGGTCACCATGGTCTGGAGAAAGCATGGGAATGTTGCTCCACTGTTCTCTTTGCTCCTGGAGACCAGCACCAAGGACAGGATCTGCTTCCGGTCTGTTCCCCCAACTGGGGAGTTCCTGTTTGCTGTAGAGCACCCTTCTGGAGGAATCTCTTCTGGAAAGATTTCTAGTACAGGCATACCTCGGAGATATTGCGGGTTCAGTTCCAGACCACCGCAATAAAGCGAATATCGCAATAAAGCAAGTCACACGAATTTTTTGGTTTCCCAGGGCATATAAAAGTTATGTTTACACTATACTGTAGTCTATTAAGTGTGCAATAGCATTATGTCTAAAAAAACAATGTACATACCTTAATTAAAAAATACTTTATTGCTAAAAAATGCTAACCATCATCTGAGCCTTCAGCGAGTCGTAATCTTTTTGCTGGTGGAGGGTCTTGCCTCGATGTTGATGGCTGCTGACTGATCAGGCTGGTGGTTGCTGAAGGTTGGAGTGGCTATGGCAATTTCTTAAAATAAGACAACAATGAAGTTTGCCAGATCGATTGACTCTTCCTTTCACGAAAGATTTCTCTGTAGCATGTGATGTTTGATAGCATTTTACCCACAGTAGTACTTCTTTCAAAATTGGAGTCAATCCTCCCACACCCTGCTGCTGCTTCATCAACTAAGTTTATATAATATTCTAAATCCTTTGTTGTCATTTCAACAATGTTCACAGCATCTTCACCAGGAGTAGATTCCATCTCAAGAAACCACTTTCTTTGCTCATCCATAAGAAGCAACTCCTCATC